AGGGTCTTCCTGGAGCAATCAACAGAGTATCAAGCAGTGCATCTGTGTGAGGAAACTGCCCAAGACTGGGGAAAGAGCCATTCAAAAGGGTTATAGGGAACAAGGTCTGGCATTCACACAGGGTGGTTCCAGTGGCTGATCCAACCAGGAAGACTGGAAACACTCGTAATTCTCAGGTCGTTGGATACAGGACTCAGGAAGATCTTGCCTCAGTGGTGGGGAATAATTAACCCTAGATTAAACACTTCTTTGGAACTGCCTAACATCATAAAAGCAAGACTTGAAAGGATGAAACTATTTCTAAGAAAATTAGATGCATCCAAAAACAAAGCTCTAGGAGATTTGTAGGAATACAAAAATATCCAGCTACTAGTAAGATAAAATTTACAATGTCTGAGATCCAACCAAAGAGTATCAGAAATGCCTTTTCAGGGAAACATGACCCATAATAAGGAGCATAATCAATCAAAACTGATTCAGAACTGATACAGACATTAGAATTAGCAGAAAAGGACATTAACACAGTTATTGCTATTATTGTATGCCATATGTTCAAAGTTAAGTAGAGACATTGAAGATATAAAGAAGACCCAAATTGAACAGCTACAATGCCCCAGTTGAAAAATACACCAGATAGGATTAACAGCACATTAGACATTGAAGAAGAAAATAACTAGTCAACTTGAAGTCACAGGAATAGAAACTATTGAAAATGAAGTACGTAGGAAAAAAAGAATCAAAAAAAAATGAAAAGAGCATCAGTGAGCTGTGAGACAACTTCAAGCAGCCTAATATATGAGTAATTGGAGTCCATAAAGAAGAAGAGAGAAGGGAGCTTCAGAAAAAAAAAAAACATATAAAGAAACACTTGCCAAAATTTTTCCAAATCTGATGAACACTAGAAACCTGCAGATCCAAGAAGCTCAAGGAACCCCAAGCACAAGAAACATGAGGAAACGACACCAAGGCAAGAAACTATCAACAAAACAAAAAGCTGCCTACTGAATGGGAGAAGATATTTGTAAACAATATATCTGCTAAGGGGTTACTATCCAAAATATATAAAGAACTCATACAACTCAACGTTAAAAAAAACAAACAACCTGATTTAAAAAATGGGCAGAGGACCTGAATAGACATTTTTTCAAGGAAAACATATACATGGCCAGCAGGCACATACATGAACGATGTTCAACATTACTAATCATCAGGGGGATGCAAATCAAAATCGCAATGAGATATCACCTCATACATGTCAGAATGACTATTACCAAAAAGACAACAAATAACAAGTGTTGGTGAGGATGTGGAGAAAAGGAAACCTTTGTGCACTGTTGGTGGGAATACAAATTGGTGCAGCTAGTATGGAAAACAGTATGGAGATTCCTAAAAAAATAAAAAATACAAATACCATGTGATCCAGCAATTCCACTCCTGGGTATTTATCCAAAGAAAATGAAAACACTAATTTGAAAAGATATGTGTACTCTTATGGTCACTGCAGCATTATTTACAATAGCCAAGATATGGAAGCAACCTAAGTGCCCATCAAAAGAGGAATGGATAAAGATGTGGTATATATATACACAATGGAATATTACTCAGCCTTAAAAAAGAATGAAATCTTGCCATTTGTGACAACATGAATGGACTTGGAGGGCATTATGCTAAGTGAAATAAGTCAGACGAAGACAAATACTGTAAGATTTCACTTATATGTGGAATCTAAAAAACAAAACAAATGAACAAACGTAACTAAACATAAACAGAGAACAAACAGGTGGTTGCCAGGGAGGAGGGGAGGTGAGGAGGAGAGAAATAGGTGAGGGAGTTTAACAGGTACATACTTTCAGTTACAAAATAAGTGAGTCATGGGTATGAAATGTACAGTGTGGGGAATATAGTCAATAATTATGTAATATCTTTGTATGGTGACAGTAACTAGACTTATCTTGGTGATCATTTTGAAATACATAGAAAAATTGAATCTCTATGCTGTGTACTAGGAACTAACATAGTGTTGAAGGTCAATTATACTTCAAAAACAGAGAGACAAATTTATAGAAAAAGAGGTCAGATTTGTGGTTCCCAGAGGCAGGAAGATGGTGGGGAAGATAATTGGATGAAGGCAGTCAAAAGGTACAAACTTCCAATTCTAAGATAACTACTAGGAATGTAATACACAACATCATATAATTAACACTGCTGTATGTTATATATGAAAGTTGTTAAGATGGTAAATCCTAAGAGTTCTCATCACAGGGAAAAACATTTTTTTTCTATTTCTTTAATCTTGTATCTATATGAGATGATGGATATTCACTAAACATTGTGGTAACCATTTCATAATGTATGTAAGTCAAATCATTATGTTGTACACCTTAAACTTACACAGTGCTGTATGTCAATTATATCTCGATAAAACTGGAAGAAGAAAAAAAGGAAACTACACCAAGGCATATCATAATCAATTTTTTCAAAACCAGTGCTGAAGAGAAAATCTTCAAAGCAGCCAGAGGGAAAAAAAGACTATGCACAGGGGGACGGAGATAAGGATGAGAGCAGATTTCTCATAGGAAACAATGTAAGGAAGAAGATAGTGGAGGAATGTCTTTAAAGTACTGAAAGAAATAGAAACAGTTGACCTAACATTCTAGACCCATGAAAATATCTTTCAAAAAATAAGGTGAAATACAGACTTTTTCAGACATACAAAAACAGAGAATTCATCACCAGCAGACCTGCGCTACAAAAAATGTTAAAGAAAGAAGGCAAATGATACCAGATGGAAATCAGGACCTACACAAAGGAATGAAGAGCACTGGAAGTGGCAACTATGTGGGTAAACATATATGATTCCTTTTCTTAGTATTTAAATCTCTTTGAAGTAATTGACTGCTTAAATAAAAATAACAGGGACTTCCCTGGTGGCACAGTGGTTAAGACTCCACACTCCCAATGCAGGGGGCCCGGGTTCGATCCCTGACCAGGGAACTAGATCCCACATGCATGCTGCAACTAAAAGTTCGCATGCCACACTAAGGAGCCCCCATGCCGCAACTAAGACCTGGTGCAACCAAATATGTATATGTATAACTGATTCACTTTGTTATAAAGCAGAAACTAACACACCATTGTAAAGTAATTATACTCCAATAAAGATGTAAAAAAAATAAATATTTTTTTAAAAAATAAAAATAACAATGTATTTTGGGATTTATAACATGTTAAAGTAAAATGCATGATAACAATAGCATAAAGGCTGAGCAGGGGGAAATGGAAGCACACTATTGTGGAGTTCTTATACTATATGTGAAGTAGTATGTATCACTTGAAGGTAGACTTTGATAAGTTAAAGATGTATAATATAAACCCTAAAGCAATCAGTAAATAAAACTAAGAGTAAGAGCTAATAGGCAAACAAAAGAGATAAAGTGGAATCATTTTAAAATACCTAATTCAGGGACTTCCCTGGTGGCGCAGTGGTTAAGAATCCGCCTGCCAATGCAGGGAACATGGGTTTGATCCCTGGTCCGGGAAGATCCCACATGCCACAGAGCAACTAAGCCTGTGCACCACAACTACTGAGCCTGTGCTCTAGAGCCCACGAGCCACAACTGCTGAGCCTGTGTGCTGCAACTAGTGAAGCCCGCGAGCCTAGAGCCCATGCTCCACAACAAGAGAAGCCACCACAATGAGAAGCCCGCGCACCACAGTGAAGAGTAGTTAGTCCCCGCTCGCCGAAACTAGAGAAAGCCCGCGCCCAGCAATGAAGACCCAACACAGCCAAAAAAAATTAAAATAAGTAAACAAATTAATTTTAAAAAATAAAAAACAAGTAATAAATGATGTGTAATCTAATGAAAAAATATGAGATTTCTATCAATAAATTTCCTATTTAAAGAAAAACACACAATACACAAAGGGAGTGACATCAGCATAATTGCAGACTAGGAAGCTCCAAGCTTGTGTTCCCCAACGAAAACATAAAATTAAATTTAAAAAGAAAAAAGAAAGCAAGCTGAATTGTCAGAACCAATTGTGTCAGTGCTCTGGAAACAGTCACAGGTTTATAGCAACACAGCAAGTACCCAATCAAGAAAAAGACATCTTCAAAGTCGTGGGAAAGTTCTGTGGCATTCTTACTCACCCTCGCCCCACCTTCTCCCTGGGACCGCAGTTGCGGTCTGGAAGCAGCAGCCTAGTTCCCAGTCCCCTTCCTTGAACTGGAGAGGGCAGAGCAGACTATTTGCAAGTGGTTGCATATGTGCTATCCATCCACCTTGTTCCATGTTCCTTTCTTCTTGCCTTCTTTTGGATTATTCATCTATTTCCCTTCCTCTTGTTTGAAATTTATACTTTTTCTATTCTTTAGTTTTTATACCCTTAATTTATCGAAATGTAGTATTAGTCTAACTTAAAATCTTCTACAAGTGCACTACTTAGTACACTTTAAACTGTATCCAATTCACAGAGTCCCTCCTCGGCTATGTCTGATATGTTGCTAAACTCATCCGACTTCTCAAACTGTTATCTATCTCAGATCTATTACTTCTGCTTGGTTCTTTCTCATTTTCATTTTTAAAAGTTTTAAATTTCTTGTTCATATGTAATCGTCTCTATTTCCATGGCCAGAGTAAGCATAACTGTTTTACATTGATGTCTGAGGATTCTAATATGAGGTGTCTCTGTGTAACTGTGTCTGTTGCCTCTTACTTCTCCTGATTCTTAGGCATGTTGTCTTTTTGAAACGTCTTTGGTTAAACCCGGGAAGTTATCTTGAGTGAATTCATTGTAGGTGGATTTTTGTCCAGGACTGATTGATTACTCATAGCTAATGAGGTCTTTTTTTTTTTTTGCGGTATGCGGGCCTCTCACTGCTGTGGCCTCTCCCGTTGCGGAGCACAGGCTCCGGACACGCAAGCCCAGCGGCCATGGCTCACAGGCCCAGCTGCTCCGCGGCATGTGGGATCTTACCGGACCGGGGCACGAACCCGCGTCCCCCGCATCGGCAGGCGGACTCTCAACCACTGCGCCACCAGGGAAGCCCTGAGGTCTCATTTTGAACCAGCTCTTTACGCCTGATTCCTCATCTGCAAAATGGGGTAACAGTGCTTAAACCATATAGTCTTCGTGAGGATTAAACAACAGCTTATGAGTTCCTGGATCCAGTCATACCTTTAACTAGTATTTCTGTGCTTTTCGCTTAAGTCAGTTTGAGCTGAGCTCCTCACAGCAACTACCTCGATTCTTGCCTGTGTCAACAGCATGACCGGAGATTTGTAGGTGATAAAGCTGGAGGTGGGGGCGGGGGGAGGCTGCCAGGTCCAGTGCAAAGGCAGCAGGCTGAGGGGAATGAGGAGACCCTTCCCATGGGAATGGTCTCTCAGCCGTCCTGATCAGGATTCCCTTCCTCAGTGTGAAAGGTTGGGGTGCTTGTCTACATCCAGATACTGCACATCTGTCCACTCCACGCTGCCCCAAGGTTGTCCCCACAAGAGCCGTTTCTCAGAGGTGACAGCTGGTGCCTACGGGAGGGCTCAGGTGGGGGCTGTGCAGTGCTTAGGTGGCATCTTATGCTCAGACACACTATGCTGCACCCATTCTGTGCTAGGTGCACCACCTCACTCTTCTGTGGCATGAGGCTGAAGGGACCCTGCCTGGTGGGGGAGCTGCAGTCATGGCGGGAGGCTAAGCATAGGGGCGACACAAACACAGCACACCTGTCCTGTCAGTTTGTATGGCTTGGGCCAGATGTACCCACTCCTCAGAGGACACTACTGGGGGCCTGCGAGGTGGTCTGGTTAGTATCTTTTATGTCCGGAAACCACCCATTTGCCCACACGGATGCCTGTCTGTTCCAGGCACACCTTTCCCACATCACCTGTAGTGCAGGTCATGTCCACAAAGATTTCCATCCTGGGTCCAGGGAGGTCAAACATCCCCTCCAGGACTACTGCCGTGTAACTGATAAGGTGTACTGACCTCTGGACCTAGCTCGAGCAATTACTTGACCTCTGTATCTGTTTCCCCATCTGAAATTGGCGATGACAACTCCTGCGTGAGACTGTTGTGAGGATTATGAGTCGATATTTCCAAAATGCTTTGGGAAACACTGGGCATGCAGTTGGTGCTGAGAATCGTGTCTGATGCGCAGATGGTGCTTCAGAAGCACTTAGAATAGTACCTGGCACAGAGATGGTGCACTCAGAGCAGCAGCCATCACACACCTGGCATTCAGTAAGCACACAGGCATAAAACTGGTGCTTGGTAAGTATGTTAAAAGAAAAAAACCCACACTGCCAAGGAACACACTGGCACGTTTATATGTACACAGCAGAAAGTACAGAGTCTCAATAAGAAAATACACTCTGTGTTCAGGTGCATCCCACCACCAACCCCTCAGTTCACCCCAGGTTGAGGACAAGAGGGAAGGGGACAACCATAAATAGAGAATAGAAGGGAGGGTTAATGCTCTAAGGGGCAAACACAGGTAGGGAACACACTGCTGGAAGGAGACATGACCTCTTCTTCCCCAAGAGAAAGCAATATAGCAGCACAGGAGAACAGTAGCCACGACTAAGCCTGTGGCGTCTGGCATGGGGCACCTAACACAGGTAAGAGGACAGGGGTGGAGCTGGGAAGGAAGAGAGCAGAGATGGCTACCTTCCCTGTGGCAGGGCCAGGGCCCCTCAATTTACATCCATGAACTCAGAGTTGGCTGGGGTACCAAAGGCTGGGGACGCTGGGGGGTCAGATAAGCTGGGCTGGGGTTGCAGGCGACGTGCCACATCCTGGCGTTGGTAGAACAGGACATAGGCTGCCTTGGACTGCAAGGAGAGGACAGGAGTCAGTGTGGATCGGGGAGGAGGGTGTCGGGAGAAGGGAGGATGGAAATCACACCTCAATTTGATTCTCAGTCACAGGTGAGACACTGTTGTCATCGAAGTAGTGCCATTGACCGCTGTCCTTGTTGCAGGCAAATGTCGTGTCTATAAAAGAGGGGAAGCTGTCCTCACCCACCCTCCTGCCCCTAAGAGGCGTCCACGTCCGCTCTCACTCCTCCCACCCTAATGACCTCGCCACCCGTTCACACATCTGGGGACACCCACTGGGGACATCCTGACCCCCCAGCACACGGCCCTGCCACAGCCTGGCACATACAGTGTCCATCCCGCAGGCCCCCGTAATGGTTGGAAACTGCAATGAGATCATATTTGTACAGCTCTGGGGCCGACTCGTTCTGCGGCTTGATGACAAACTTGGAGAAGTCCAGGTCCCTGTGGGTGGGGAGAGGGTTAACACTGCTGGCGCCCCCTTCCCCATTGCCTGCCTTCCCCCCACAGCCAGCCTCCCCGGGCCCCGGACCGGATAGGAAACTCCACAAGGGTATCCAGCTTCTCGCGGGAGAACTTGGTGTAGGAAAAGCGCTTCAGGTGGATGATGAGCGTCTCCGGCAGCATCCACAGGTCCAGCTTCTTGGTGGCCAGCTGGTGCTGCTTGCAATTGGGGCAGTACCTAGAGATGGAGCCCGAGTCAGGACACAGACACTTTCTGAGCACCTACCGCATGCTCTTTGTGCCGTGCGGCCTTCGTGGGCCACGTCTCGTCCAGAGATGCTGCTCTTACTCCTAGCCTGCCTGTTACTCTAGTTTGCTCTCTTGACACGTTAAAATCCTACCAAGTACTCACCAACTCCCCACTGTATACACTTTTGTACTGGCGTGTGTTTTTGTTTGGCTTCCAGTCTGTGAGACACTAGTCTTCTTTTAGAGCCTGCCTCTCTCACTCCAGTTTTCTCTCTTCTATTTTATTCACTGACTCACTCGCCAGGTATTTACTGACGGTCTACTGTTGAGTCCTTTGGCACTACTTTGTATTTCTATTCCCTTTCTGCTCCATGGAGATGCCGCTCTTATTTTTTAGACTGGTTTTGTCTTTTTTGGTTCTCTTTTTCTGTTTTGTTTATTCTGCAAGGATCTAATGAGTATCTACTGCACAGCCCACACCATTATAATCAGTGAGAAGAGACACACAGTGAACTTAAAAGTCTTCCCCCTTAAGGGGTTCACTCTAACAGAAAATACAAAAAAACGATGCAAAAGGGGATCTAGGAGGTGACATCAAGTGGCGTTACAGAGCTAGAAAGAGGGAATGGAGGGAGCTGATGGCTGGGAGAGGAGTGGCTTTTAACAGAAGAGTAAGAGAAGGTCTCTCTGAGGAGGTAACATTTGCTCACAGACCTGAGCAAAATGGAGGTCAAATCCTGTAGATAACTAGAGGAAGAATGACCCTGGGAGAAGGAACAGCCCAGGCAAAGGCTCTGAGGTAGGAATAGGCTTGGGGTGTTGGTGGCCAGAGTGGCAGGAAGGCTTCGAGTGAGGGGGAGGGGGAAGGAGGTGTATTTAGTGGTGACGGACTGGGGGAGGTGGTCCCACCCAACTGCACCCCCAGAGGCCCTGTTCTGGGCCCTCACCAGGGGTTTTCCTTCTCCAGGGTCTCAGTGGTGGTGAAGAGCTCGATGCACTCCTGCAGCCGCACCGGAGCCTTCTTCAGCACGTACCCAACACAGTCATGCTTCACGTAGCCCTAGGTTGGGGGAATGGACAGCCAGGTATGAGGATGGGGGTTGTGGGGGATAAAAAGGAGTCGGGGTGGAAGACACACACCGAGTGGTTAAGAGCATGGACTTTGTGTGTAGCGCAAGGTGAAAGTGCCTCCCACCCCCAGGATCTCGTTTACCTCAGCCTCCACCTCGTCATAGTAACGCTTCTTCATCTCTGGCTCCCAGTCGATGGCAATGTACGGCTGGGCTGGGGGCGAGGGGAGGTGGTCATGGGCCCTGCTGCCAAGCACACCCCCCTCCCGCCTCCCCAACCCTGGCTCACAGCTGAAGGAGACACCATGGGTATCCTCGTTGAAGGTCGAGCGGTCGCTGGTCCCATTGGAATTCACTGTCTGCAGGGTGAAGAGGTGTTTGCGCCGTGCTCTCTGGGGCCAGTGGGATGGTCCAGGGGAGTTGTCCACGGGGGCCCGGCTCCCGCCCGCGACTCCAGAGCTGGGCCCAGCCTGCTCCGGCCCAGGGTCTTGGGAGCTGCCCCCAGCCACATGTCCAGCCTTAGGGAGGTTGTCCTTATCCTCCAGGTCTGCTGGGACAGGAGAGGATGTCAGAGGTGGAAATGTGTGAGCCCCAGGGGGTTGAGCTGCAATACACATCCATGTGGACCCTGTGTGGGTCAGACCGACCCCAGACCCCCTGACCCTCCCTCAGGCCATGGGACTGCTTGTACAGACCCTCATCCTTGCCGATCCTCTCTCCTTTCTCCTCCTCACCTTTCTCATCCCCATCATCCTCGTCATCCGAGCTGGGTCTGGTCACATAGCGTCTGCCGACAGAGCAGAGGAGACTCTCAAGGAGGGACCCGAGGGCAGGGAGGACAGAGCCCAGATTCCTACTTTGCTTATGATGGGAAGCTGCTGGTAAACCCACACACAAACAGTTCTTAAGGAGGAGCCCGGAAGGTCTCAGGAGATGCCAGAGGGACACGGGAAGAGGCAGCCTGACAATGTAGGATCTTGTGTGCCACAGTTAAGGAGCGTGGATCTTAAGTATGATAAGCCACTGGTAAACAGGCACACAATCAGCTGTAAATTTCCATCAGGGAAGGCCTCTGAGAAGCACTTGTAAGTGCAACATGAGAGAGAGGTGAAGCCAGATAACGCACTGTTGTTTGCCTTGGTAAGGACTCTGGATTTTAAGCACAATGAAAATCTATCAGTAAAAACAAAACAACCAAGCCTCTCCAAGGAAGAGACAATTAAGTACAAGATGAAGTCTGCATTTTGTCTGTCTTGTTCACCTCTGTGTATCCCCAGCGCCTAGGAGAAGTGGTGCAAAGTCAGAAATTTAGAGAAAGAAAAAAGCCTACAAGTTCCTCTCTGGCCATGTTAAGTTTGAGCTGTCTTCTGGATGCAGACGGGAAGTGGCAACTAAGCAGCTAGACGCCCGGATCTGAGTTCTGACCCCACCTCCCTGCCTGACCCCAAACAGCAGACTCACGAGAGGCGGTACAGCAGGATGTGATACAGGGCGTCCCAGGAGAGCCGGTCCCGGGGCACCGACACCAGGAGCGGGTGCCCAAAGAGCATCAGGCCATAGTAAGAATTGTTGTAGTCCCGGGCTGGGGTGCGCTCCCGCAGGTAGATAGGAAGCACAACGTCCTCTCTGGAGTTCTCGCCAATAGCAGCCCTGCCTGACACCTCGTATCTGTGGGGGATGGACATCAGGTCATGCCTGATCAGGACACCCAAGAGGGATTCGAGGATTCTACCCCAGTTGCTCCAGCCACTCACCACTCACAGCCTGAAAATATTTTTAAAAGGGTCCGAAGAGTTACCCAGGGTTCTGTATTTTACAAACTGTTGGATGATTTACACAGCCCTTTGTTTATGTGATGTTAGATAAAGTACTTTGGTGTTATCAGCGCACTGAGGGAGTTGACAAAAATTTTTTGTGACACAGGGATCTAAAACCATTTTCTTTTTGGAAAACTAAACTGCTTGGTTTACAAAAATTTTTCTACTCATAAAGCATCTTCTATTTTAGTTACCCAAAGATTTCAAACTTGCTCTGAATGTTCTTATGTTCAGAAAGCATCTTAGTGTTCCCCATTTCAAAAATCACTTGGTTTTTGAGGCATGCAATGTGAGTAAGGAGTGCAGATCAGCATCGGGTACATACAAGGTACTAGTTAAGTGCTGAATAAAATAAAGAAACAGGAGCCTCCCTCACATAACAAGGAGGAAAACACCCAAGGACGCCCTGTATAAGGATGTGTCGCCCCACTCACTGACAGCCCCTAGCCCCCTGCCCCACTAAGGCACATGGCCGAAGCCCCGAGCTGTGCAGGTGCCCTGTGAATCAGGCCGAGGAAGGGAGAGGGAAGGTGGTTAACGGAGGAGGTTCCTGAGAAGCCCTCATCTCCCCTCGTCCTCTCACTCACATGAAGATATCATCTCGGTCCAAGATGCTGCTCAGAGACTCCTCCAGCTGGTAGATCTTATAGAAGCGGTGACTGAAGACATCGGCCACCATCATCTGAGAATGGGATGCAGAGAGGGGACCAGTCAGTCTGCCAGGTCTCCCCCAGGCCCTTCTGCCTCTCTCTGCCCCCCTGCCCCTGAATCCCACCCTCCTTCTATCTGCAGAGCCTCACCCTTTCTGGCGAGACACCAGTGTGTTTGGCCAGAGCCACACACAGATCCGAGATCTTGCCTTTCTTGGGGACCACGAGCCGGTGCTGAGGGAGGAACGGTATCCACAAAAGAGCAGAAGGATGTGTGGTGAGTTAGTGAAGGAAACCCTGAGGTACAACAGAGTAATCAAACGAACTCTGACTACATGTCCCTCATTACGTCCCCTGTCCCCATTCCCCCCGTACCTGCTCTGGCTTGCGGCGGGGGTCCATGGAGACAAAGAAGACCTCCATGACCCTCTTGTGGGTCATAGGCAATGGGACACTGAGGTAGCAGAAGGGGTCGAAGGTCACAGACACGTTGCCACAATCAGGGCACACCACCGTGGACTTGAAGAGGCCATGGAAAGTGTCCACAATCACAGAATCGTTCCGCCGTTTGTGGTTCTGCCAGGCCTCCTGAGCAACCTCCTGTTGAGTGCCATGGTGGGTGGTGAGGCTTGCCCGGGGCCGGGGAAAACCATGGTATGGGGTGGATGTGCATGGGATTAAAGTTAAGGTTACGGCCACCGGTAAAGTCCAGAGGCAGAGTTACAGTGAGGGCTATCTGGAGACTGCGTTCACTGTCGGGGCCGGGGATTATTTGGGGCAGGAGACCAGGTGGGGGTTAACTCTGGGTTGGGCGTGAGCGCAGATGTGGCGTTGGAGCCAAGGTTGGGACCGAGGTCAGGGAAGAGGAGCTTAATAGAAAATGGTGGTGTGCGGGATACTCCAGGGAGGCCAGAAAATTCCTGAGGCAGAGGCCCTAGTGGCTTTAATGAGGCTCTCAGGATGGGGGTCTTCCAGGAGCGCCCACCTGATCTGGCCTCCCAGCAGCATCGCACAGTTCCACATATTCCTTCTTCTTAACACGATTGAGGTCCTCGTGCAGCCCATCCAGGAGGAACGACAGCAGCTCCTGTGAGTCATGCTGCTGGTAGCCCAGAAACTGGGACGCAAAGTGGCCGACCTTGGTCTGAGAAGATGGGCAGGGCCGTCAGAGCGTGAGGGAGTTGGGGGGTGGGGGCACAGAGGAACCGGCCAGGGCTGAGCCACACCTTGAACACGTGGGGCACGATGGAGCGGTGGTGGCCGGACCACGCCTGCTTCACCAGGTCCGCATAGGCCTCTGCGATCTCCCCCTTCATGCCCAGTGGGTTGCAGAAGTTGAGCTCCTCCAGGTAGCAGTTTTTGAGGAAGTAGTTGGTGAGCTGTGGCACGTTGCTGAGGCACTGCAGAAGGCAGGGGCCAGGTGCATGAAGAGGCGAGAGAGGTAACCAAGGTGGGGGACAGAGGAAAGGGAGACAGGAGGAAGGGGAAAGAAAGAGAAGGGGCAGGGAAGTAGGGGAGAGAAGAATTTCAGGAGAAGGAAGAATGTGGTGACGAAGGAGAGAAGACAAGGGAAAGCAGGGAGCAAGTGGAAGGAAGAGGCATTAACGTTTCAGAAAGTAATGTGGGCATGTCGAGCCAGACTGTGGGGCCCCAGCTTCCAACTGACCCCTTGCCCTGCAATACCCCCCTAGCTCTGTCCCCAATCTCCAACGCTCAAATCCATCCCTGCGCAGTGCCAGACCTAGACCTAATGGCTCAACCTGCAGGGCCGAGTTCATGAAGCACGTGTTGCCCAGATTGGTGAGACCACAGATGCCCGGCTGGCCCTGGAAGTCCTCATCCTCCTCCGACGCGCTGCTCCTGGGACGGATGAGAAACTCTTATCAGCTGAGGACCTACTACTTGTGGGTGGAATGTGCTCTTGGGCTCAGTTGTTCTGCCTACTGTGGGATCCCACTCTGGACTGGAAACCCCAAGGGCTCACATGGCGGGCAGCTGTGCGCTGGGCCAAGTGCCATCCTTGTTTCGGGTCTCCATGATGACCACCTGGGTTGGAGGAAGAGGAGTAAAGATCAGGAAAGGCATTCATGGAGGGTCCACGGACACCTAGCCCTCACTTCCCCCAACCTGAGCACGGGTGGTGGGCTAAGAAGTCCTCCCCACCCTTACCTGCCCAGTCTTGAGAGCGGCGTCAAGCACTGTGACACGTGTGTTGCACAACCTCTCAAAAGAGCCCTCCGCGTTCTTGATCCACAGCCGTGTCTCTTCTTGGGGGCTCACCAGAAACTGCTCTTGAGCGGTGCGCAGAACTAGGTCTGTGGAGGGTGATGGAGCACATTCAAGGTCTTCCTGGGACCCTGGAGAATCCACCCATCTTGGCATCAGATTCCTTAGGTCACCGAGCTGTGACCGTGGCTGGGAATGCCAACTCATTCCGCGACCCTTAGACTCACCAACAGAATCTGTGCGGCTGAACTGAGCGGTGTGAGCTGTGTCCATATCACTGTGCTGGATGAGCAGCAGTTCTACTGGGTACACTTCAACCTTCTGGATGTTGGACAGCTCCACGACCTGGAAGGAGGGAAGGATGCACACACAGGTGTACCCACCCAACACACACATGGACACAGGAACGACGACCTTTGAGATCAGAGGAACATCCACACAGACAAACACACATGGCATAGACACACGTACGAGGCTCTGTGAGGGGAGCACACACAGGCGAGCAAATGCAGGGGACACAGCAAGATACCATCTAATGACCTGGGAGAGGAGGAGAGGGCAGACCCAGGTGTATGGATACAGCATACGTGAACACACAGGTCTGGACCCATCCTGGGCCTATGGAGGCCTTCCTCCTACGCTCCCCGCCCTATAAAAGCCACCCCCCAGCACCCTCCCCACCCACTATACCTTGCGTTCAATGGGAGGCTGCCCATGCTCTAGACCATACCAGTTGACCAGGTAATGCCAAGCAGCCGCTGGGAGCAGCACATAGTCCTCACCTTCCACCAGTCCCTTCTTGAGGCGCCAGTTTACCTGGTCTGCAGGAGGGCGGGGGGAGGTGGCAGAGGAACAATCAGGGAAGGAAAGTGATGAGTCACTCTGGCCATCTCACCAATGACCTAGCACAGAAAAGGGGCTCATGATCATTTGCGGGGACAAAGATGACAAGAAGTCCAGGCTTGGCTGATGTTGGGAGGCAGAAGCCTGGTACCTTCAAAGAGCTCAGCATTGTTGATGCAGCCAGGGAAGGTGCTGGGGTCCTGGTCTCCTCCCTGCACGTATACTTCCCACTGCTTGTACCAGTGCTGCTCCACGAGGAACCTGGACCAGACAGGTGACAGGGGTGTCACACGGCTATCTGGGGGTTAGTGGTACCACTTCACACGGTTATTAGACTAAAAGTATCAACATGTTACAAGTCAAGATGACAAGTTTCATGAACACCTGAAACTAATACAGCGCTATACGCCAACTATATTTCCGATTAAAAAAAGAAATTCTTCCCAGAATTCAACATTTAAAAAAATTTTCAGCATCATATAAAAATAAATTAGAAGCAAAATGTATTCAGTGAAATCCAGATTTGGATAGAATGCTTAACTTCTTAGGATACTAAAAGAGATTTGATGATTAAAAACAGAAAGTGTGCTCAATAACGGCAAAAAAAAAAAACCAAAACCCATACCCATACCCATGGGGCCAGAAAACAGGAGATTTTATTATGGAATAAACAATAATTCACTTGTATTAGTCTGTGGGGTAACACAGTCAAATTAGGTTCAAAATAACTTACTTGCAGCTAATGTTGTAAGACTTAGCCATTTGTTAAATGTGCAGTGTTTGTAAAGGATACAAAAATCTTCGGCTAAGAAATGGATTGTTAAATTCTGAAAACCTGCTCAGAAATCAAAAAGAATTTCAACTGCTAAAGGAATCATAAAGTTTTCCTTCAAAAACTGTATACTGCCATCTTAAAAATAATTTCTTATTTAGGATTTATTTTGGCTTTAGAGTAAATTTCTAAGTGTATGGTGACTAGCTCACTCTTTATGTAAAACTGTGGTTAAAACATAAAATTTACCACCTGAACCACCTTTAAGTGCAGTTTGACCTATTCTCTTTTAAAGGAGACTTTTATATGCACTACTAGGATAAACATTTAGGACTGTTGAAATCTGCCTTTGTAAAATGTCATGAGAAATTCTGAAGTCTGCAAAATACTCGACATATAATAAGTGCTAAATGAACATTAGCTGTTACTGTTCTGATCCCAGGGCTTAGACAAAAAAGTTCATGTACACGTAATCCTCCTTCCCCCCTCCAACTCTAACACAAACCTGCTCTGCTATGGAATTTTTTTTTTTCTTTTTTTTTTGGCTGCGCCCACCCGTGGCATGCAAGATCTTAGTTCCCAGACCAGGGATCGAACCTTGCCCGCTGCAGTGGAAGTGCGGAATCTTAATCACTGGACCACCAGGGAAGTCCCTGCTATGGAATTGTTGACACATAAAAGGCTGTCCCAAGTATTTAACAGCCTCAAATAAACACTTTTTAAAAAAATTACAAAACTGATAAAAAATACGTAACAGTTTTCCAGCGATTTAACTCTATAAATTGGATTCCTTAAAATGGCAACTTTTCTTTGTTTAAAAAAGGATCAGAAAGGTAGGGGGATGGGGAGATAGAAAAACCCTGGAATAGTCACATGTTGCCCAAATAGGCAAACTTTTCTGTGGGTTGTTTTTTATTCAGTTATTTATTTTGGGGGTTGCAGTGACCCCCACAGACCCCGTACTTCATTCATGCCAGAAACACACACCCTCCGCACTCCAGTGGCTCAAGCCACAGACACTTCCCATCACTCATCTAGAAAACCCCATTGCGGACCTTACCCTCTGCCACTGTACCTTCACCTCCCCTTCAAGGTTTTAATTGCCTCCATTGATGGTCTATGAGGTTACTCAGTAAAGCTAATCTATTGTTAATGGGACCTTCGAAGCAAAAGGAGCCACAGCTCAATGGGTTTTTTTAAAAGCAGATTTTTAAGGAAGATTAACATTAAAATCACTTTTTAGAGTGGTAAGCAAAACCTCCAGACCTGGCTACAACCTGGATTTCTAAAGCCATCATAGAAGACTGAAGTTTTACATAAATTTTCACAAAGTATCACTAGCATGTTTTTTCAATTCAAAGACACAAAAACTTTTTTAACATCTCTGAATTGGGATGGCTCATAATCTGTCAGCTCAGATGGCAGTCATGACAGAGTTGTCATTGTCTAATGAAAAAGCACCACATTGTTATTTACTCCTACACTTCAATTTTTTTTGGTTGCTACTGTAAATGGTATCTTTCAAATTTTAACTTTCTAACGTCTTGTTGCTAGTATACAGAAATAAAATGGATCTTCCTAAAGTCACTTATGTTTGTGTTTCCTCAAATTTGTTAAAATGATATGAAATATGTGCTTATGGAAAGAAATTACTAAAAATATTGTCTGTCCTCTAGATTTCTCTTGTGTCTGGAGAAAATATTGGTTATTCTGGTTAATCATTACACTAGGTATAATAATTACAGAGAAATAGAAATATGGATGTAAACTAAGAGATGGTTTCCTACTTGTTTTATTAAAAGGTTGTTAGCTTATTCAGATGGTAAATGTGCTATTACATTGTTCTAAATTTATTATTTATATATCTGTATAAGCCTACATATACAAATAAGAAGGCAGGCATATAAATAAATCCTTTCTATAAATTGTTACATGAATAATGTACCAAAGGAGAAAAATTAGAATTTGGGCCTTTTTCTGTAAAATGACTACATTAATTTATGCCCAGACTGGAAGTTCCTTTTTCTGTCACCAAATTACTGTTAACTCTTGGTACCTTCTGACATCTCCTTAGCTCATTTTTTAAAAAGAATTCTTGCTTTAAAAAAAAGTTAAGCTCCTAATAATCTTTGTTATTTATCACTGTGTTTTACGAGGTTGACTATAAATATTTCTTGTCTTTACTTCAATTTATATCTTGTTAAAAAACAACTATTCTTCCTTTGTCTTTCACAAATTCAGGCCAAAGTCAGAATAATAACACTGTTAAGATGTTCTTTTCTGTCTAAACTATCTCTGGGAGATACCACAAAGATCTGCTCCTTTGCCCTATAAAAGGAATGATAATAGCATCATTAGGTTTATCCAAAATTCCCCCAATTTTAATTAACTTGAAAATTTCAGAAAAGCTTTCATTTTTCAAACTTGATATTTTTAAAAATGACAAACCAAAAAGAAAGTTTATCTTCCTAGATTAGTTATTAATTATATATAATTAGATATACTAATATAAATATCTTTCAATAACTGCATAGTTTTCAAGCTAAAAAGCATAATGTTCAAGCAACAAAGACTAGTACAGTAACTGTCTACCAAAAGCTCCCCCCTCCAGGACGCTAGACTCACAAACTCCTTTCCCTTTTTGGTTCACAAAAAGTCTGAACAGGTACTAAGGGTGCCGACTCAATTAGAGGGGAATTGTCAGAGGCCTATTGTTTTTTTCAGTCTTTCATTAGATCCAGTGGCCAAAGCATATTTACCTTGTGTAAGAGCTATAGCAGCAATCGCCAACCAAACGTGTGAAAATTTCAGTCGGTTTAGTTCTAGGGTCTTCATTAAAGGTAACGGTGCCCCGTGCTGTGCAGACTTCTCCATTGACAGAAAACCCTCAACATTTCTAGGCTAGTCTCTTAAGCTCCAGTGAGACGTTGCTTCCCCTTCACACATCACAGTCGATTCTGCAATACTGAACCCAGCCACCCACCTTCCTTAACCTGAGCAAAGAGAACCTCATGCTTGCTTACCTCTGTTAGGAAACTATCCCCACCCTGCACAGACCTAGAGACTCCAGCTATCCCAGATTTGTTTTAGATGGTTCATCCTAGAAAATTTGCCAAGGAGGCTAAACTATCACAGATTTGAATTTTCTCTTAAAATTTAAGCTTCTCCTAGAAATTAAATCAATTTAGATGGCCAAATTAATTAAATGCCCCCACCCAAATCTGCCAGCTGACAAAAGATAGAAGGTGCAAATATTAATATGGATATTAGGTATATGATTTGGGGTTAGTCCATGACTTTGAAATGCTTTATAAGCACAAATTTCCTGACCACTGCAGCAAACCCCTATAAAATAGACAGCAAATTAAAGAATCTTGAGGTGCTCTGCTCTAGATAAGCATTAAAAAATGGAGCTAAGGAAAAATGCTGCATATTATCCACAAAAGCAGAGATAAACTGGCTTCACTGAACCAACATCGATGGGATAAATTTTTTTTATTGACAGAGCATAATTTTTTATTCACATGACATAAAATTAACCATTTAAAAAGTGAACAATTCAATGGCATTTAGTACATTCAGCATTGTGCAACCACAACCTCTATCTACTTCCAAAACATTTTCAGCACCCCAAGAGGAAAGCTGGTACTGGTGGGATAATTTTAAAGGGTATTGTCACAAGGCTGTAAAGGTAGGATGGGGCAGAAACCAAAGGCCCCCCCCGCCCTTCTGAACACCTCCAAGTGGGCTATAAAAACGTTCCTGTTATTGTTTATTCTCAGGATGGATTGAGGTTTTGCCTTGCTGGAGAGCTATAGTGTAATGGTAAAACAAACTGCTCAGTTCCATATTTCCGATTTGGGGAATCTCAACTTGTCTCTCCAGTAACAGGAATATATATTTCGCTAGTACTGTGATTAAATAACTCTGTAAAATGAGCAAACCTCACTCCTAAAGGCTCTCAGGTGAGAGCATGCTTGAGGCGTTCGAGGAACAGCAAGAGTCCAACATGGCCGGATGGGGAAAGTGAGGGGGAGGGAAATCAGAAGAGCATGGGAGAAGATCAGAGCCAGGGACCAGCCTCGCAATCCTAAAGCCTACAAGTCATTGTAAGAATTTTAGCAGTTACATTGAATAAAATAGGAAGACTGTTAAAACATTTTGAGGAAAGGATGGACATAAATTATTTTTAAAAAGAATTACTGTGTACGGAAAGAGGAAAATAGTACCTGCACAGTGGAGAAACCCAGCAGATACCTTCACCAAGTGATCAAGGCTAACATCACCAATGACGTCATGTGAATACAGAGTACCCACCTGACATGATGCAAAGGGCACACCATGTGCATCCAGTCTGATTTCATATATATCCTCAATAAAATGAAAGCTTAGACCACAAATACTATTTAGGGATGCATACAATGGTGGGGAAACGTTAACGAAATTAAAAATTCAGGGTAATAACTTCCCCTGGCAGGGAGAGGGATGATCTTCATCTGGGAGGGGCACAGAAGGATTTCTTAAGGTAACGGTCTGAATCTTAACCTAGGTGATTAATTCACAAATTTTTTTATTATTCTTTAAATTTTTAACTTTGAAATGGACTCAGAAAAATAGCAAAAATAATACAAAGAATTCCCGCGTGCCCTTCATCCAGATTCTCCAAATTTAAAATTTTACCCATTTGCTCGATTATTTCTTTAAATACGTTTTTATATATGCCATTCTTTCAACGATTTCAGAGTAAGCTTGCTTACACGATGGTTCTTTACCCCTAAATATTTCGACATGTATTTCCTAAAAACAAAGATATTCCCTTTCATACTCAAAATACAATTATCAAAAGCAAGGAATTAGCAGTACTAATAGCTAATCTTCAGACCTTAGTAAAATTTTACCAATTTCCCCATTCATATCTTTTACAGTAAAAGAGAGAAAATTCATTTTATGAGAAAAAACTTATTTTTAAATAATTTATTTTTTCTGCTCCGGGATCCAACCCAGGATCACACTTTGCATTTAGTTATCATGACTCGTTAAATCCCGTTAATTTCTTCAGTCTGGAACAGTTCTTCATCCTTTGTCTCTCACGACCTTGAAATTTTTGAAGAGCACAGGCCGTTTATTTTTATAGAATGTCCATCAACCTGGGCTACGTAAACGTTTCATATAATCTTTACAGGTCTTACGTATTTCACGACTTAAAAAACGAGATACAACTCGGCGAGAAATAAAATGAACCCAGGAACAGTACATTTCAAGCACTGGTTAGCAAAGAAATCAATTAAACAAGCCGATTTATCAAGATACGCGTTGACATTTTAAAAAGCTATTTGTTCCTGATTACAAAAACAAAGCATTACAAAACAGAAAACAAATGTAACATCGAAGGCCCCTCCCGTGCCAATCACCTGCACTTTCTCCCGTCCTGGGAAGAAGGGCTCGGCCAGAGGCAAAAACCTCGCCGCGTCACAAACTTTGCTCATTCGCAGGCGCCATTTTCTGCTTCACAAGGTACCACCTCCCCTCTGCAGTCTTTCCTCTGCCCCAGGACACGCCCCTCGGCCTACGTCACAAGCCTCGTTCCCAGGCTCCAGCTCCCTCCGTCACGGAGGCTCCGACTCCCCTCCCCCCTCAGCCTTTCAGCACCGATTTCGCTCTTCCGCCTGACATCACCCGCCTCGCCTCCGTTGTCAGGCGCGGCGGAGCACCGCGGGCCGCCCCCAAATGCTACGTTACGTCGCGCAGACCACGCTGCCCCGCTCTGTTGCTGAGAAAACCTCCTTCCCAGGTTCTCAGTTCCACCACGCGAGCCTGACCCCGCCGCCGTGGCCCTTTCTTCTCAAGATCCGCCCCCCTGAATGTAAATTGATACAGCCACTATGGAGAACAGTATGGAGGTTCCTTAAAAAACTAAAAATAGAACTACCATACAACCCAGCAATCCCACTACTGGGCATATACCCAGAGAAAGCCATAATTCAAAAAAGCACATGCGCCCCAATGTTCACTGCAGCTCTACTTACAATAGCCAGGACATGGAAGCAACCTAAGTGTCCATCGACAGATGAATGGATAAAGAAGATGTGGCACATATATACAATGGAATATTACTCAGCCATAAAAAGAAATGAAACTGAGTTATCTGTAGTGAGGTGGATGGACCTAGAGTCTGTCATACACAATGAAGCCAGAAAGAGAAAAACAAATACCGTATGCTAACACATATATATGGAATCCAAAAAATAAACAAACAAAAAAGTGGTCATGAAGAACCTAGGGGCAGGACAGAAATAAAGACGCAGACATAGAGAATGGACTTGAGGACACGGGGAGGGAGAAGGGTAAGCTGGGACGAAGTGGGAGAGTGGCATGGACATATATACACTACCAAACGTAAAATAGATAGCTAGTGGGAAGCAGCCGCATGGCACAGGGAGATCAGCTCGGTGCTTTGTGTCCACCTAGAGTGGTGGGATAGGGAGCGTGGGAGGGTGACGCAAGAGGGAAGAGATATAGGGATATATATATACGTATAGGTGATGCACTTTGTAATACAGCAGAAACTAACACACCATTGTAAAGCAATTTTAATCCAATAAAGATGTTTAAAATATATATATCCGACCCCCTGCCTCTCCACAACAATCCGGTTCTCAGGCCGCAGGCTCCACCACACAGGCCCGGCCCCGCCTCTTTCACAGACAAGGCACTTCCCCGCGTCTCTTGTCCTCAGTCTCACAGGCCACTCCGCCCCACGGCACCTCTCCTGCGGACCTTCGCCGCCCCGTCCCCCACCTTCCCCAACGCCTCCATCGTCCCCCTAGCCGAGGCTCCATTCGCAGCTCCTCCTCACCAGCTTTCGCCCGCCCGCAGCGGATGCCCTCGCCCATTCTCGCCGTTCTCGATCTGGCGCCGCTGGCTCTCCAGGCCCGGCACCGCTTTACGCTGTGGCTCTCGGTCCTCGGCCGCAGCCGCAGCCGCCGGACTATCTGCCACCGCCGCCATGGCCGTTCGCCCTCCTCTCACAGTCATCGCAGCTGGGGATAGGAAAAGTCCCCATAAATGCTACTTCCGGCTTCTGTCCCCGGAAACGGAAACAGAGCCCCCCAAACAGCCGGGGGGCTACTGCCGTTTTGAAAAGGGAGCCCCGCTCGGACGCGTCGAGGGGCTAGGCGGGCATCGGACCTTGGGCGGTGATCTCTGCGACGAATAGGCGGGGTAAAGCCTCCAGTTGGGACCTAAAGACAAAGGTGTCTTGTGGGATTCTAACGCCATGTTGAGTCGGGGCAAACGGTTCTGTGGAAGGTGCAGGTAGAGGTCCCCGGGGTGGACGAGGACATGTATTGGGGAGCGCTCAGAGGAACACAAAGGTTCCAGGTCTTCTCGGTCCCATGCTCTGCTGGGGACCGCGGGCCCCTATCCTGGGAGCGGCGTTTTTGCTAGCCTGACCAGAATACCCTTATTTCATTGCACTACCCTTCCCTTCCATCAAAACCTAATGCAAAAGAGGTCACCACTTCCAGGGCGCCGCCCAGCCCTTCGGGCCTCTTCCCTGGGTGAACTAGATTTATTCTCTTGATAAACGTGTTGAAGGCAAGTCAGCCCCAGGCCAGGTATATTTGTTGGAGTTGCAGTACTAATAATAGTTGACCCTGTTTAGGTGTTTTATTGCACGTAAATAGTAGTTTTAGGCAGCAGGTTGCCTATGGGCAACAATGGGGATGCTGAGCACCAGAAACGTTAATTCACTTTGCCCCACCTAGTAAGTAGTGGAGCTGTGGTTCGAAATCAGGAATTCCAGTTCCAGAGTTGGCACCTTAAAACACCAGGCCAGAGATCCTCAAACTGTGGTCCTAGGCTTTCTACCGGTTCAGGAAACCCTTTCAGGGGGTTCACAAAGTCAAAACTATTCACAACAATACTTTTTCATGGTCATTCTCTCTTGCACATGCGGTGGAATTTTCCAGAGGCTGCATGACATAAGCAAAAGCTCTTTGGATGTCCTCAATTCTTAAGAATATAAAGGGATCCTGAGACCAGAAGTTTGAGAACCAGTCCACCATGCCAGGGTTTTTTCAGCTTAGGCACTGTTGACATTTCTCTGTTGTAGGAAGCATTGTAGGATGTTTAGCTGCATCCCTGGCCTCTGCCCGCTAGCATCCACCAGTTGGCACAACCAAAAGTGTCTCCAGACGCTGCCATATGTCCTCTGGGGGTGGGGGAGATTATCTCCTGCTGAGAACCAGTGCACTAGACTATGCCAGCCTTTTCTCTGCTAGAACTCCCAGCCCTACATGTTGGTGATAACTAAAATTTCCCTCTTTGGCTCTCTACATGTACCTGCCTATTGGCTGTCCCCACTTGACCATATCACAAACTCCCCAAGACAGGCTCATGACTCTGGGTCTGTTTCAGTGATTTCCTTCACTATCACCACCCATACCCACAGGCAAAAACACACCTTGCCTTTCCACACCTAGGCCCAGGCACACACAGGTCCAGAATACCCTTTCCCTGCACAATTTCAAATCCCACTACCACCCATACACATGATCTTATGATTTACCTGTTTTCGGTTAACTTCTGCAGGGCAGGGATTGTATATTACTGTGATTCCAGCCTCCAGCTCAGACCTGGCACAGGTGAGGGGGTCACAACTCAGTTGTGCAAACTTTGAGGGAGGAAAGGGAGCAGCCCTTTCACCTGGGGATCCCCGAAGTGGCATTCGAGTTCCGTCTGGCACATGGCAGATAGCTGCTCTTCAGGCCCAGCTGAAGCTTGTCAGATTCTCTGAATTGACTCTTATTGCCCCTCTGCAAACTCCCCCTCCGCATTTAATTGATAGCCCATCCTTCCTACAATCCAACAAGAGGCCTCCCTCCCTAGGCCTAAACTTGATTTCTCCGTTTTCCAGAAACCAACATCTGCCCACACCAGGTACCCTACCACTTCCCAGAGCAGTTGGATGAATTCTAGTCCGGCCTGGCAATCTTGTCCCCTTTTGCAAGGTCTTCGTTTTCCCCACCTCCCTTGCTGCCAGAGGTGGCCATGTCAACTGATTCTAGCCAAATGATGGCATAAGTCCGCTGACGAGCTTGTGGAAGTTTCAGCCCTGTTACAAGGATGCGGTCAGGTAGGGAGGGTGATGTTTTCCCTGCTTGCTTTCCCATCTTTGGGGACATGGCAGCCATCATGGAACTATAAGGCTGCAAGCTATCACCAAAGTGCTTACAGGGACACAGTAGAGGTCCGTCGGCCACTGCCACCGCTAGACTTCAGTAACCAGTCACTTAAGCTTGCATCTCCTGTAGCATTTGCCTGCCCACCCTACCTCTTCTGCCTGGAAGTCTATCCTAGGCTTTGCCCAAGATGGTGGACAGGGGCTAGAACTCCCAGGACAGAGGAAATCAAAGCCTCGACTTGAGACCAAGTCCCAGGCTGTCTCTTGACCTCTAGCCTCTCACAAACCACTGCATCCTCCCCAGGGTCATCTCATACATGTCCATGGTTTCCATTACTTCCTAGACACCAGTAATCTAAACATCCAATTCCATCAATGGCCCTACTCCTGAATTTGATCCATGTATTAAAAGCATTCCCCTATCTACTCAGTGGTTCAAAATCTACCCTCCTCTCATATTCCCTCTCCAACTGGCCTTTCTCATGCTCCCAGCCAGACATGTCTTGGTCATACTGGGCCTCTCTGCCTCATCTCCCCAACTCATTTTATTGGGCCTTCCAAGTGTCTTTCAAACAGCCTCTCTACACCCACCAGTCTACCCTCTATCTGGCTCCCGCATATTCTCAGGTAAATCTGATTCCTCTCTCCTTAGCCTATGCTCTTATACAGCCTGCCCTGCCTGCTTCAACTCGATGTTCCAGGTGTGCAACCCCTCAGATGCCTTTTTCATAGTCCTGACGTGTCCCTGGCCCACTCCCAGTGCTCTTCTAGATGATGGGGACCAGGTATGAATTCTCCAAGGTCCCAGTACTCACCCTGGGTTGAGCCCACCCCCACAGGGATTTGCAATCAGGTTTTTCACTTTAGACTTTTTAATATTTCATACAGCGATTATGGTGCATTCAGGAACCCACCCCTCCCAAACCGCCCTAGGAAGGCCCCTGCCCTCCCACCCCATTTGAGGGCCCCAGGGTTTAGAGTGAAGGGGAGGTAACCACCCATCTGGAGACTGACCCCAGAGACTGTCCCTGCCCTGCCTCATCTTCCCCAGGGGTTAGGGGGTAATGCCTGGGCACACCCCCCCCCCACCATGTGCCCCTCTGTCCCTGCCTGTGTACATATACACACTATGGCTCCTCGCTGAGTTGGTCAGTTCCTGGCAGGGGCCCTACTCAACAGCACCGAGTGGGATGGGGGCAGGAGGGCTGGGCTAGGGAGACCCTGAGAAGGAGGCCCCTGCTATGGGACTGCAGGAGGGAAAGAGTGGGGGCCCCCCACCTCATCCATCTCCCAGAGAATCTCCTGTAGTCCCCAAGTCCCCCTGCAGCTGGGGATGGCAGGTGGGGGTCGGAAGGCGAGTGGTCGAGGCATGCTTTCCCTTAGCTGACCCCAGGGTCTGGTGATGGTCAGGGTTTTGAATAGGGGTTGTGTCCCTGCCATGGAAAGGCTGGGAGCGGGGCTTCATTGCACAAAATACTGTGGGAGGGCCACACAGTGGGTGGGGCCCAGCCAGCCTGTATACAGAGATATTGCATTTAAAAAATGAAAACCTCATTTAAAATAATTAAAAAACAACAATGAATGAAACAAACAAAAAGAAAAAGGCCCACACAACATGAGGCAGGTGGGGCAGGCAGGAAAGCAGACAGGGGAGCCTCAGACCCAAGGCATCACCGTGTCTTGTCTGAGTCGAGATCCCCAGCCTGGGCTAGCTCCAGACCCCTGGCTTGCCGTGGGTAGTGGTCCTGCGGGGGGTGGGGCATGATGGGGAGGGGTATAGGCCTGGCCTCAGTGTGGGAGGCTGGCACGGCCATGCTGTCCGCCGGCAACTACCGAGACAGAAAGAGAGAGAGACACACAGACAGACAGACAGATCAGGCGAAGGAACGATGAGAACTTTGTTAGCACCCAGCAGACAGGCCAATGGGTGGGCCAACAGGCCAATGGTCGGGTGTTCAGACAGGCAGCAGGGGACACGTGGGCAGGCGAGCATGAGTCAGGCAGGTAGGCAGGCAGCAAGCAGGGAGGATGATGCAGTTGGGGGCTGCCCTGTGAGGGGTATGGCATCCCTCCAGCTGCTGCCTGCTGGGGCCTCGGTCTGTGGCTTAGAACTCGGTGTCCACCACTCGGAAAGCTGGCCTGCCTGCAGGGGAAAGCAGAGCAGATGGCTGTTGGTGAGCAAGCAGGTAGGTGGACGGGGCAGGGAAGAGGGTGAGGGCCACAAGTACACTTACCTGAGTCAGGCATTGACGAAGACCGAATGCTGGCCTCCTTTTGTAGCTGGATCTCCTTTAGTGCAAATATGGAAGTAGCTGTGGGTGGAGGAGAGACAGGAGTGGGGCATGACCCATGAGGCCACCTAGGACCACCTCCCATGTGGCCCCGTCAGGGAAATTAGAAAAAGCTGCCTTTTCTTTGAGAGCCTTGACTTTCATCCATCAAATAATCCCACACACAAACCAGCTACAACCAGGGAAAATGGAATATAGACTATTACATGACACCAAGAAATCATTAACTTTGTCAAGTGCGACAGTGATACTGCGATTACCACCTATAAAGTCTAGATAATGGATGGTGTTTGGGATTTTTCTTTTTGTTTTTTTTTTGCGGTACGTGGGCCTCTCACTGTTGTGGCCTCTCCCGTTGCGGAGCACAGGCTCTGGACGCGCAGGCTCAGCGGCCATGGCTCATGGGCCCAGCTGCTCCGCGGCATGTGGGATCTTCCCGGACCGGGGCACGAACCCCCGTGTCCCCTGCGTCGGCAGGCGGACTCTCAACCACTGCGCCACCAGGGAAGCCCGGTGTTTGGGATTTGATTGAGATTAATCCAATCAAATGTTAGCGTGATAATGGTATTACTGTTACGCTTAAGAAAATATTTTAGAGATACATGCTGAAATTGTTTATAGATGAATGATGTATCTGGAACTTGATTCAAAATAATCAGAGTGATTATAGATAAAACCTGATTGGCCATGAGTTGATCACTTGTTGGAGTACCTGGGGACTCATCATATTATTTGGTCTAATATATAAATATATCTAACTTTAAAACGTCCATATTAAAAAGTTTTAAAAAGTCAGACATAACAGAACACGCCATGTGCCTCCATTTCTGTAGGGGACAGGGACAGGGAAAGCATATCTATGCTTTAGAAGTCAAACTAGTGGCAACTTTTAGAGGGGATGCCAGGAATAACTGAAGGAGAAAAGAGGGCACTTCAGGGGAGCTTCTCACATCCTATTTCTCGACCTGTATGCCGGTTACACGGGTGTTTAGTTTGTAAAAATTCATTGTGCTATATGCTTATGATCTATCATTTCTCAGTATCTATTTCACAACATTTACTTTTTTTTAAAAGGTAAAGTGATGTTCCATCGGTTTTTATGTACGTTTGAAAATTTCCAGGAACTGAAAACTAAAAAACTCTTCTGTAATGAACAACACATCACACACGTGAACAAGGGCATACCCCCCCCCCCCCCCCCACCCCATCCAAGGTGGCAGAGCCAGAGCCCAACACAACCTGCCCAGCTATCTGCAGCAGTCCTGTTCCCCAAAGCCCCCCACCAGCCGGTCCATTCCCCAGCTCCACTCACTGTCAGGAAGTTTGTGGATCCGTTCCCCCAGACTGAGGAAGAATGGATGTTTCATGGCATCTTCTGCGGAGATCCGATTGCGACCTTCAAACTGAGTGTGTGTGTTGGGATGGGGGAGTATTGACACTTTCAACAAGTAGGCTTCTCTTCCTCCCCGCCCCAGATCCTGCCCCTGTAGCTCCCTGTTTCCCCACACCTGGAATCCGCTAGGCCCCAAGGCTGGCCCAGGAAGATCGTCTCACCTGCAGCAGCTTGGTGAGGAGGTCAGCCCCGTCGCTGTCAAGTCTACCACAAGGACAAGGGGACCTGTTTTAAACTCAGTTTGGGTACTCTGGTCCCTAACACCCACCTACCCACCAGCCTCACCGGGGTGCATGGCTCAAAAGGGCCTCGGCTCGGTACTTGGGGTAGTTGTATGTCTTGAACTCTTCATTGGACAGGATGCCCGGCCATGTCTCCTCAGTTGGGGTTCCTGGCGGGGAAGTGGAGTTATCCTAAACATCTCACAGGGCCTCCCTGCATGTCCCCACAGCTCCTAGGGCTCATGCCTCCTCACCCAAGATGCGGAAGATGAAGTGCAGCTGTTCCTCCACCGTGGAGCCCGGGAAGAGGGGCCGGCCTGTGGCCATCTCATAGAAGATGCAGCCCACACCCCTGGGCAGGGAGGGCACAGTGAATATGTAGGCAGTTGGCCGGTTGGCTGTTGTGACCAAGCCACCCCCCTTCACCGCATGGCCCCTGCCACACTTCGACCTGTCCTCACCACATGTCAATCTGAGTGGAGTAGTCCGTGGACCCGAGCAGGATGTCGGGGGGCCGGTACCACAGTGTTACCACCTCATTGGAGTAGGTCTTCGTTGGAATTGACTTGGCCCGGGCCAGGCCTGGTAGGTGGAGAGAGGGGGCAGCTGGAATTGAGGAGGTTGTGGGCAGTATTGGGGAGAATGCAGTTAGGACTGAGGGCATCCTAAGCAAAGCCTGGAGGGGCTGAATGGGAGGGACTGAGACCAGGTGGTTGTGGGGAAGGGGGAGGCTGGGAGAGTAAGGCTGGGGGATCACTGGGAAGAAGGCAGAGGCCAGGGGTACCAAAGTCGGCCAGCTTGAGCTCTCCTCTCTCATTGATGAGCAGGTTCTGGGGCTTGAGGTCTCGGTGTAGCACCTTCTGCCGGTGGCAGTAGGCCAGGCCACGGAGCAGCTGGAACAGGAACAGCTGGGGACCCAGGAACGGCAGGCAGAGGTCAAAGAGTATCCAGCAGCCTGACCCCCAGCAGGCACTGCTCCCCCTCCCAAAGACAGGCACTGAGCCCAGAGCCTTGTCTCACAAAAGAGGATAGGGTCCCAATGCCCTCCAAGGGCTCCCAGCTTTTTTTTTGGCAAAAAAGCCAAACAGGAAAAGTCTGTTTCTGGGAGATTTGTGGGGTGGAGTGGGTGAGTGAGGGGCCCCCTTGTGCCCCTGCTTCCTGCCCCACACCCACTTTCACATTGTGCATGTTGATGACGTTCCCACAGTCATCCAGGTACTGCTTCAGGTCCTTGTCCTGAGGAAAGAAGAGCAGGTAGAGGAAAGAGGGTCACATCCTGTGGCTCCTGGCCATCTCCCCACCTCCCCCCAGGACCCACTGCCACCCAACCTTACCAGGTACTCAAAGACAAGGGTGAGGGACTTCTCCGTGTGAATAATGTCGTGTAGCGTGACGATGTTGGCATGTTTGAGGTCCTTGAGCAGGGACACTGCAGGAAGCAGGGGGGTGGGACAGGGGAAGAGTCAGGGCCCACCCTCAGAACAGAGGCAAGGAGGAGAACTAAACCGGGTCGAGCCCAGATGGCTTGGGGTGGTGGCTCACAGCCACCGGCTCTAACCCACCTGATACCAGGAAGAAGGTGTGTCCCCAAGTTCCAGATGTGGAAACTAAGGCTCAGAGAAGAGTATAGAGCAAGAACCTGGGATTGCAGCCCCAGGCTTATGTGACACTAGATTTTCACAACCAGTTTTTGGTTTCTGGAAAGCGCCCTTGCTCCAATCCTCAGTACACAGATCTGCAGCATCGTGTGAAAATGAGTTTGCACACTCAATTACTATGCAATTCAGATTCATTCCATGTGAAATTCTGACTAGAAACTATTGTGTCAAGTAA